TGCAAAAGTACAAGATAAAAGGTTGGGCAACTTGAAGCAAGGTGGCATTTTGGGGGCCCTCCCTGTAACTGCATCTCTGTGGCTGTAAAGGTTTCCTGCCGTGGTGGGATAGGAAATGCAAAAACTACACAGAAAAAAGCCCTGAATATATTTATCATTTTAAAACAAAAACAGCAAAGATCCTACCCTGCAAAAAAAAAAAAAAAAAACTGAGAAAGAAATGGAGAGTTATTGTTTTGCCCCTCTGTGTGATGCAAACTTTTCTCATAGCTTGAATGTTCATGATGGCCTTCAAACCTTAAGAAAAGTATATCAGTAAAGGAGAATATTCGTAGCACAGGATTAAAGTGAGGAGTCTCTGAGCTTTGTTGGTTTCTTGCAGACATTTCATTACTCAAACTAGGTTAACGTTGTCAGTAGGGAGTGGGGTTTCCTCTCCATTTACTGTATATTTTAGTGCAGGGGTGGGGAACCTTGGCTCTTTTATGACTTATGGACTTTAACTCCCAGAATTCCTGAGCCAGCATGGCTGGCTCAGGAATTCTGGGAGTTGAAGTCCACAAGTCATAAAAGAGCCAAGGTTCCCCACCCCTGTTCTAGTGGCTTGTCCTATCAGTGTTGTTGGGAGTGTTCTTGGGGATTGCTTGGATGGAGTGTTTACTATTTGGACTATTGTTAACTGCCAAACAAGCTAATAGTAAACAGCCCAGCTAAAGAATCTCCAAGACCAAGACCAACACTGACAGGGCAAGCCACTAGAATATAAATCAGCCTATTCACTATCATCTACTGCCAGTAGTTTACAGAATAAAACAGAATAGAGAGTTGGAAGGGACCTTGGAGGTCTTCTAGTCCAAACCCCTGCTCAGGCAGGAAACCCTATACCATTTCAGACAAGTGGTTGTCCAATCTCTTCTTTAAAATGTTCAGTGTTGAAGCATCCACAACTTCTAGAGGCAAGTTGTTCCACTGATTAATTGTTCTGTCAGGAAATTTCTCCTTAGTTCTAGGTTGCTTCTTTCTTTGGTTAGTTTCCATCCGTTGCTTCTTGTCCTGCCTTCAGGTGCTTTGGAGAAGAGCTTGACTCCCTCCTTTTTGTGGCAACCCATGAGATATTGGAACACTGCTATCATGTCATCCCTAGTTAATCTAAATTGAGGACAAAGCCCACTCCTTAGCACTGATGATGTTACCTAGTTGGGTAATGTAACATCTGCAAGAAAAGAACCAAGCTCAGAGAGCACCAAGGAGCCCTCCAAAAGTATCCCATGGACTCAAAATGTTGCTCATCCCTACACTAAACCATATAGTTCTATCTGAACTAACCATGTACTATGGGACGCCTCCCCTCCTGAATCTCTATATGCTTTCCAGATCTGCAATACTATCACGGAACTGCCAAATTCTGAAAACTGAAGCAGACTTATTCCCGTTAAAACAAACTCAGCAGATAGGCTCCAGCCATTCTGCTCAGAGCCTTTCATTTACGAGAAAACTGTTTCTCAGCCAAAGAAAACTGGATGATTCTCATTAGAACAATCCAGGTCTCCAAAACAGATGAAGCAAATTTGGACCAAGGTGCCCTACACTGGAAAACTATAAGGGTATTTATTTGTTGGCGTGGAATCATGGCCAATGTCCAAGGAGGTTGGGCTTGATGCCAAAGGAACCTGTTGCAGGAACTTCGACTCAGATTAATGTGAGGGCAGGCAGAGACGTACTAAGCATGTCCCTGAGTAAAACCACAGCTGTTAGGACTAAGGCCAAGTTCTGGCCTGTTTAGTGAATAGAGCGCTAACTGTAAATGCTGATTAATAACTGAGCCAGCCAGTTATATATACATCTGCATCAATGCATGCCACAAATATTTTCTAGAGTTTTTCCCAAGATTACGGTAGTCTTAATTTGGGGCAAAGTTGCTCTAAAGTGATAGCTGAGGCCCGTTTTTCGTGCCTCTTGCATGGAGCCTAGGCTTCCACAGTCCCTGCTGTTTGTCATCTCAGAATTTTTCTTTACTTTATTACATTTTGAGGCTGTCCAAGAACCACAGCTCCCTGGCCTCTCTGCAAACTCATTAAAATGTATAATGCAAAACAATAATGAAGTGGAATAGAAAAAATAACTATATTGGGGGAAATTGGGGAACTTGGCAGTTTGAGCAAATGTAAGGTCCTAATTTGCTAAGCTGTGCAAGTCTTGGTTGTAGAGCTGAATACCAAGTTATTCTTATTTTAAGTACAAAAGTATTCTGCTTTTGATTTGATACAGGTGCTGACGTGCGTATGGAAGAAAGTCGATAGCAATGCCTAATTCGTTCAAGTATTGGAAACATATATGTGTGTAAGAGAAAAAAAGCATATTGGAAAGCTTTTTTTAAACAGATAGCACTTTTTTTAAAAAAAAAAAAACTATGATTAAACTTTCTGTAGGAAGCTCGTTTTCCCATCACTTTTTATTAGAGGTGTAGAAATCTGGAATATTTTACTCTTTGACAGCAATGCGTAATCTACTGCATTTAATAATGGGAAGGAAAGGAAGGAAGGAAGGAAGGGAGGGAGGGAGGAAGGAAGGGAGGGAGCGAGAGGAAGAGAGGAAGGGAGGGAGGGGAAGGGAGGGAGGGAGGAAGGATTGGTAGGGAGGGAGAGGAAGGAAGGGAGGGAGGGAGGATTGGGAGCGGGAGAGAGGAAGAATTGGGAGGGAGGGGAGGGGAAGG